TATATATATATATATATTACGTTTACTCTATTATTACATAAGCATCCCTATAATATTATGTACACAACAATGCATAAGAAAATACATAAAATACTTAGTAGAGGGGGACTAATAAGCATGGAAAAAAAAATTAGATGAGCATGCCTAATGGTGTAAACGAGCCGAGCTTGAGCAAGCTCACGCTCTGTCCATATTCGGCTTGTTTATTTATCGAGCTCAAAAAATATATTCGTGTTCAGCTCATTTGCTTAGCAAGCTGAACACTAGTTGTTCGCGAACAATGAGTCATTTGATAGCCCTAGTCATAAAATTGTAGCATTGTAAGGGTTAGAGTGAGATTTAAATCTTATTTTTTAGATTAAAATAACTATTTAAATAGAATTTAATAAATATTTATTTTTTAATTACAATTTTAATTGATTATAAATCTTTGTAGCCTTGTAGCCAATTAAATTATTTAAAAATAATAATAATCAATCATGAACGAACAAAACACAGTTTGTGCTCGGCTCATTTATATATCGAGTGCAAAAAATGGTTCATGTTCGACTTGTTTGCTTAGAGAATAGATCTAACACGAGCTACTTAATGAGCCAAACATGAGCAATTTGTGAACAATGAGCAGTCTTGATAGCCCTAAGTATGCCCCACCAAGTTTTGATCAATAAGTTTTAAAATTCATATGCTTTAAATGAGTTAATATAAAAAATTAATTTATTATTCATATATTACACTTATTATTACGTGCAGCCTCATTGTGATAATAATTACACTCAAAACGATTTTAACATCCCTCAATTTCACCATTCAAGCTTGACGGTGAGTTTGCTCTAGTGGTACGAGGGTGACCCCTTTTATTGAGTCCTAGGGCTTTGCCTCTGAAAATTTTTTTATTTTACATAGCGCCGCGGTGACCAGAACGTTGCACTGCCGTGCCCGATATAGGCTCAATCCCAAAAGCACCACACTCCAACACTTGGAGGAGAGCGACAGAACACACAGATGTAACACCACAACGCAGAGACCAACAAGGTCGTAATGCCCAATCCAATTAGATTTCAAGAACCTCAAAGCACGACACTGCAGCGCCCAAGAGCCAGCACCCCAACACCCTATCACGACACCCTAATGCCAGTAACTATATTTGCGCCGTTCTCCAATATAAGTTTCAATTCCGTCGATCGGAAGTGCTTTGAAATTGAATTTCAAAATTTCTCTTATCTAACAAGAGCATTCTTAAGTTCCAATGTGTGAAGATCCTCAAGTGTAGTTTAATCGCTATTATTCTTTTCATTTTCTTCACAATAAATTTCTTAATGTAATTCGACTCCATGATTTTTTTCCTGTCTTCTTCGGGTTTTTCCAAATGCTTACTATGATTTCTCATTTTGTTCGCTTCTATTTTTAAGTTTTGCTTCAGATATCTGGAATGAGTTTCTTACATCCCTCCCAACAACACATACCTCAACATCAATATAATTTTCCACAATAATACACAAAAAGATTAGGAATTTATAGGTTTATAAAATTACCAAAATTATTGAAGTCTGAAAATATTCAACAAAGGAGAAAATTCTGAGAAACTATAACCTTTTTTCATTCTCTCTTTTTTTAATCAATTTCATGGCTTTGCATTTAACACAATTTTAACTTACACTTAACAAAATAAAAAATTAAAAAAAAAAAACACTCACTGAAAAGTATAAGAGAAAAATGAAAAATGTGCTCAGAAGCAAGAATTATATTAAACACAACACACTCTTAGGTTGCTTTTGTGGCAGCTTGTGTGTTTCAGGATAAGCTGCTTATCCTGAAACGCGGGCATGTTGCGGGGTTCGATCAGCGGCTTGCCTTTAGTGTAAAAACTCAAACACGGTTTCAGATAAGTTGGTGAAATGCGCGAATCAAACAGTACGGCGGCGTTTTGCGTTTCCCCGCACTTATAAACTGCCCCAAACGGGCCCTTAATCTCATCAAAATAATCAACCTGATGATCTCCAAATCCTTCCTTCCAAGGATATTACCATTACCGAAACATCATCATGATACTTCCTGCGATCGCCATGAGGAATATCAAGCAGCTCATGAAAATCCATTCCTGTAGGAATAATAAATATAAATTAAAAAAAAATACAAAAAATAATAAATAAATAAATTTGTAAAACAAAAGGGGCATGTAATACATACCCCACCCAATTCTTATGCTTTACATGCCTAATAACTAAAATTTAAATTTTACATTTATACCATCTAAATCTCTTATATCAGATTAAAAAATACCACTAGACCTTTCCATGCATAGTTAAGGTGGCATATATGACCAAATTGAAGTTTTAAGTGTTAGATATGTAAATACATAGAAATTGAGTGGCATGTAAGTAAATCTTCCGGGGACATTTGCATACATACCACCCAATTTCTATGTATTTATATTTCTATGTATTTATATATGTATTATATATGTAACACCAAAACTTTGTTTTTTACATTTATACCACCCAAATCTTTTCGCATCACTTCCAAAATACCACCATTTTTAAACTTTTAAAGAGTGAAATACACCTTCTCATATCCAACATCTAAACATTGCTATTTATTTCCAAAATACCACCCAATTCCTATTTATTTACATATCCAACCTCTAAAGATTGCTTCCTTACATTTCTACTACCCAAATCTTTTCACATAAACTTCTAAAACACCACCATTTCAAACTTTTAAAAAGTGAAATACACATTCTCACACAGATAAAGTGGCATGTAAAAGTTAAAGTTTACGTGTTAGATATGTAAATACGTTGGAATTGAGTGGTATGTACGTAAATCCTCGTAATAAATTTATCCTTAATTTAAAAATACCATTTTTCTTCGCCGCGCGGAAAAGCAATTCAGCAATGAGGTATTGTGCAGGATCTCCATCTGGGACGTTTTCAATGAACCATGCAACATGTGAAATCACCTCCTCATTGCTGAAATATTCGTACAGTCCATCGGATGATAGGATCAGGAACCGATCACTCGAACATAAACGGTGATGAACGAGCGAAGGCTCGCAGCTAAGGTATGGAGAAGTTCCAACATAATCAACCCGGAACATCTCCAATAAGGCATTATTAAACTTCGGCTGCAGAACAAAACTATTTGTTAAGAGATTAAGGAGGCATTTACATACATATAACATGCAATTCCTCTGTATTTTTACATATCTAGAACCTAAATTCTCATATTTACATGCATAACACTCAAATCATTAACATCATATCAAAAATACCGCTATCACTATCTTGTTTCATGCATGAGTTTATGATGGCTAGGGTGGTAAAAGTGTAAATTGAAACTTTGGGTGATAGATATGTAATGCATAAGAGTTGAGTTGTATGTGAGTAAATCTCTCAAGAATAAAACATACTAAAGTGACTGTAATCACAAGTTAATAAAAACAAAGAAAAGAAAAACATCACAGCTTGTCAAAAAATAAAAAAAAGAAAAGTGTATGGTAATATTTATATTCCATACTAAAGTGACTGTAATCACAAGTTAATAAAAAGAAAGAAAAGAAAAACATCACAGCTTGTCAAAAAACAAAATAAAGAAAAGTGTATGGTAATATTTATATTTGCTATAATAGCAGCATAAAAATTTTAAAAGACAAAAGAAAAGTTGAATTATTTTCATTTAATACAATTACTCATAAACTTAAGTAAATTCTGTCTGGAGAGCATTGGGGTATGACTAGTAGATCTCAACCCGAGAATCTGCCATCGAAAGATCCCAATATAAAGGTAATCGCTGTTTTGTGAAAATGGGAGTATGACCCATGGATCTCAAACTAAGAATACGCCGCTCAAATGTACCAACAGAGAAACGAGTGCGATAAGATGAACATCGGTGTATGATGCTAAAGTCTTAAGTCTAAGTATCTACTACCGAAAGGTCTCAGTAGATATGATGCTAAAGCTTCCTAAACTTGAAGAAAGTTGATTAAGAGACAGAAGAAGAAAATAAATATTGAGAGAATAGCCAGTTAGTTGCAGTTGCGGAATTAACCTACCGCTCGGCTAGCCCCAACTGTTCATATATAGATAATAAATTTGATAATTTAAAATGAATCAAAAGAAATAGCTCTACTAGTAAAACAAAACAATCCTTTTCAAATCAAGAATCTCAGATTCCTACTGATGAGAAGAAGATACTTGAAACCGTGTCCGCTAGAGTGCACAGAGTCCTAAGGGTTGCCATGGAGAAATGACTCACGAAGAGGTACGAAAGACCTATTCTGATTGAGGTTAACAGGGAGCCTGTATCAATCTAGGCAAATCCTACTCGAAAAACATCAGGGCATGATATTTGGAACTTATGTCCAGGGATCAGCCGTTGAAAGGTCTCGGCGAAAGTAAGCAAATATGGAGTACGAAGCCCCATGAAAAAAAATTAAAATAAAAAGATGAAATATCTAGTTAGCACTCCAAAAAATCTGTCGTTGGTAAAATATATTAAGAATGAATTTTAAAGAACAAGCAACCATAATGATGAATCTAATCATTATTTTCCTCTAGAAGAATCACACAATACATGGACACTATACACCTTAATGATTTGGAGATTTTCATCGTTGATGCTATGACCACAACTATAATTGTCCAAGCTCATAACAAGTCTCAACCTATCAAAAAATCTACATGTAATGCATTTCAACTTGCACGACTGCGCATCAAGTAAAATCTAAAAAAGAGAATATTAAACAGAGAGCTCAATAATTATTGTCCAAGCAACAGATTGACCAATAAGGTCTAATTCTAAAAGCAAGCATTTTTACACTCTAGCAATTAGAAAATTCAAAATTCGTTAAAAAAATAGTTCTACCAATAACATTAAAAAAAAACCCAAATTTGGGTTTGATGATGTCAAGATCTTATTAAAAAAAATTTAAGACTTTGCCTGTAGAGTGCACAGAGTCTTAAAGGCTGCTTAAACGAATGGCCTCATGAAAAGGAAATATGAAAGACCTATCATGATCAGGGCTAATAGAAAGCCTGTAAAGGTGCAACCATCTATTGTGAAAGTGCGGCATCAACCAGACAATTTTTTTCTTATTGAACATCAGGACAGACAATTTTTATCTTATTGAACATCAGGACATGACACTCATACTATTTGTTCAGAAATCCGCCACCAAAAGATTTTGGCAGAAGGATGAGCAAATAAGGAGGTTGAAGCCCCATGAAAAAGAAAAAAATTTTTGAAGAAAAAAAAAACATATGAGATCTAATTACCACTGCCGGAGGTTCATCGTCAGTAAAATCTTTCAAGAATGGGTTCCTAAAGAAAAAAGCAACAATAATGATGAATCTCATTATTATGGTCCTCTAGAAGAATGCCCCCACGCATGGTCACTTTCCATCTTAATGATTTTTAGGTCTCGTAACTAATGTTAGGGCCACTATCATGTTTGCTCGAGCTCACACAAAAAGCCTCAGTTTGTTAACATATCTATATATCGTGCATTTCGGTTTGCACTATAAAGAAAATCTCAGAAATGGGAGTATTGAACTTAGAGCTCAACAACTACTACCTGAGCAATGGATTGACCAATAATCACTAACCTGGAAGCGAGTATTTATACCCAAAACCAATTTAAAAATCTAAAACGAGTTTAAAGGAATAACTCTAATGGTGGCACTAAGCAAAACTCAAATCTGGACTTAATAATACCAAGTTCTAATTATTAAGAAGAAGAAAAATGAGGCTCTGTTTGCTAGAGCGCACGAGGTCCTAAAATTGACAAAGGAATATATAAAAGTTTATTGTGATTGAAACAAATTGGTCCCCGGTCAAAAATATGTTATGTACTATGATATCTATAAATCAACCTAAGCAGGTCCCGCTCGGTGAGCATTTAGGTGTGATATTTAAGTTTCAAATCTAACCATCGACTACTAAAACTCCCGGAAGAAATTATCAAAAAATATTACAGTAGTTGAGACCCTAGAAAGTTCTATCTTGAAAAGATGAACAATTTCTCCTATGGAATCCCACTATCTAGTCTGATTGTTTGGAGATTCTCATCACTGATGCTAGAGCCACAATTATATTTATCCGAAGCTACAACAAGAGATCTTAGCTGCCGAAGTACCTACATGTTAGACTTTTCAGTTTGTCCATCAAAGACAGTTCAGCTATAAGGATATTTATCATTGTGCAGAAATTATCAGATCAACTCGATATTTAAAAAGCTCTAAAGCCAGAAGTGAGTATTATTATCCACAATAAACTTCACTCATTTCATCTATTCTCATTTTCGAGGAAACCGGGGCCATTTTCTACTTTTGGAGCACAAAATATCTTTTCCAGCTAAGTTATTATGCCTTGCTCAGCAAATTCAATAGGAAAGCCCTTTTTTTAACTATTATGACTAACTTACAGAAAAGAAGTGGAGAAAATTGAAATTCAGAAATGGGATTTTATTGCATATGTTTACTAACCTGTTTGAGAAACTCAGCTCCAAAAGCTCTAGTAACTTTTAACTGACCCTTTACTCTGCCGTTGAATACAACCTGAGGATCATCAACATGTTCAGCTTTAACCCTCAGTACTTCCTGCAGAAGCAATCAAGAGATAGTAAGCATTCAAAATAGAAGATTGACCTTTTTTTTTTTTGTTGAAGATTTAGGTACACACCACCCAATTTCTATGTATTTACAAGTCTATCACCTAAACTTCTATTTTTATATACATCCCAACTTATCTACGAATGAAAAGGTGTATTTCACTTCTTAAAAGTAAAAGTGGTGGTAATTTTTATGTGATAATGAAAGATTTGAGTGGTATAAATAAAAAAAAAAAGTTTAGGTGTTAGATATGAAAATACATAGGAATTGGATGGTATGGGGGGTATGTATGTAAATGTGAATTAAGTCAATTAACATACTACATATGAGCAGATTTTAGAGTGTCATTATGTTGGTTGTATGATTATACTGAAAATGAGCTGATACTTGATCCCAGCTAAAACAACTTAGAAAGCAAAAGGCAATAAATACTTGCATGGAACTTGTTCCATAAGTTTTGTCACACTAGTTGCTAAAATTAATGAAGGAAAAGATTCATTAAATTTCGTTACAGTTACAAAATTTTCAGGTTCATAAAATAATAGTCCAATTATTTGCTTCCAAAATACAAGGTCATAAGTTGTGGGCAGGCATTAACTTCAAATCATGACCATTTATTCAATAATTAGACAAAATTAAAGGAGATAAACTTAATAGCAAGTAAAATCTTCAACCCCTGGCTCTTAGAATGCAAAAAGAGCTAAAAGCCTTTAAGTTACAGAATCATAAGACGTATAGCCATAAAAGTCTTGAGACCAAATTCAAAGTACGGGACAACATCAAACACATGATCTGATTTAAATATTCTAACTATATTTGAAAGAAAATCCGACCAGCTCGGCTAGCCATCTTGTCAAGACATATTGGCAAATTCGCTCAGCCGAAATCAATTGTATAAAACACAAATATTGGCTCACTCAGCTTGTTGGCAATTCACCTAGTCAATTCGGCAAACTAGCTCGGTGGTTTAAGTTGGCATATCTGAACGACTTCGTCAACTCTCACTATAAATAAATAGTATCACACAATATGTTGAACGAACAGCTACATGCAATCATATTGTGATGTAATTTTCCTCTTACGGCACATTCATTTATAAAACCAACCCGAAGGCGGACACAAACCACCCAATAGGGGGTGGGAGATACTTTTTTTTGTCACTTAAGGGAATTTATACCAAACTCTCCCTGTTCAGCTACATTCTTAAAAGGCTCTTTTATGTATTTTAGTCCGCTCCTGTAATAAGCCATTACGCTAAGTGGTGTGAGAACTGACAATTCAGGATCCAATACAACAGGACTACTGACCAGCAAAGTATGTTGCAAGCCTTAAAGCCATATTGGTCCTTCACATTGTGTCTGATGCAATCAAATGTGAAGTAACTTCTAATCACTCATAAGGTACTACTCTTGCATGATTTTTTATCAAATTTCAAAGCATCAAATCAGGTAAAAGAAGCAATTGTTGTTTCATATTCCTAGCTCACAAGTCATGAAATTAGTTTGTCATTAACTCAAGGCCAGTGGAAAGAGAGCATTTATAATCATTAATGGCCAGATATATGGAAATAAATGCAAGACATAAGGGAAAAAAAAAGAAAAAAGAAACATCGGATATATATACTCCTGACCCCTGGCTTTCTAAGGTGATGTTTTCTCATAGACTCTAGGAAAGTTTCTTCTAACTTGGTTGTTGTGAGGAATTTACCAATGACAATGGAATGGAGACAATATAAATGTGGAGTTCACTAGGGATCTAAGAAACTCTTTCTATACATCGATGCCCATAAGGAAGAAGACCCTTACGAACAAGCAACTCATCAGTTAACTGTTTAGTCCACCTTCTGAATCGACTAGAGTAATGGGATGATTATAAGTTTACCTCCCATAATTGACCATGCACCGTAGTGACGACAAAAATACATTACAGAGAGTTCTCTAAATGACCGCCAAAGATATAAGCTCATTCAAACAAAAGGTCTCTTTTTCTTTCTTGAGGGAGGGAGGGAGATAAAGTAAGACGTTGACACCGCCAAAGATATAAGCTCATTCAAACAAAAGGTCCCTTTTTCTTTCTTGAGGGAGGGAGATAAAGTAAGGCGTTGAAAAGTTAAAATAAAGAATAAAAATCTCGACTAATTTTCATGAAAAAACAAGTGAAGGAAATTGTAAATGCAATGTTCAAAAGGACCAATTAAGAAAGGCATTTAGGCTAAGGAAACTCGCAAGAGATGGGTGTATTTCCATTATAGCATCATTTAGAAGAAACATATTATTATTAAGAAAACTAAACAAATATATAAGAATCTATCCAATAAATAAATATAGAAGAAGCTACAATTCTAAGATATGAAAAGATTCATGAAACCATCTACTCCTATCATAACTTTGGCGCATCTTTTTTTTTCTTCTTGATATGCATTGCACCAATTCTTGTCATTCTAAATCATAAGCCTTCTCAAGGTCAGTAAAATCATATGATCCTTTCTCCAACCAATAGATTTTCATGGAATGAACCAAATCGATTCTCTAATATCAATATTATTTTTCTGAGTCTATAAGTCATTATACTATCATATCATTTCATTCTATTACCCCCAAGTTTAATTTATGTATGATGACCACAATGTATCATTTGTTCTTAAATATTGGCAAAAACAATTCCTTCTCAAAATTATTTATCATCCACAGTCTTCAAAACTCTACTAAACAGAATTTTTAATTAAACTTACTACACGATCATTGATAACTCTCCAAATCTCAAAAGATTACTCATCAAAACCAACGTCTCTGCAAGGCATTGCATTCAAGCATCCTCTTCAAACCTAATTTCAATTCATTAACTTTTTCGTCAATATATAACATGCCTTAAAATTTGATCACCGTTCCCGTCCAAATTTCTTCATTAAAATTCTACAAAAAAAAAAAAAAAAAATCAAAATAGCATTTTATCTCTTCACTTTCAATACATCCGACCTTTTCAGGTTCCTTGGATCACTTATACCTTATATTTGTTATTTCATATCTCATTTGATTCTTCCTTAGTATTTAATCAATCAAACAAATCATAACAAATAAAGCTTTTGCTTTGTGCATATACTCATTGCAAGACTTATAGCTTCCTTATATTGATTAAAATTATTACTTATCTCATGCTTTGTACAATAATCTCTCGGTTTAATCCAAATAAATGTAATATAAATTATATGAAGTTTTTTTGAAAATCTTATAATAAAGAGTGGAGCACAATAATTACTTCTCCAAACCATTGAAGCCAAATTCATAGATCTGTTTACATTGGCGAAGTGAAAAGTAAGAAGTGAGAAGTGGACCACTACATTTGTTCGCTTAAATAGCGGCATTAGAAATTACTTATTCTCTAAGAAGTGATTAGTTAAATTCTTAATCATTTGACTTTGAGCACATATACTGAAGTCATTTTCAAAGGCCATTAAAGATTACATTTTTTATATTTCTGAAAAATAATAAGGCCACATAAACATATAAGTTCACTTCTAAAGTATATAATTTAAAAACAAATATATAAAATAAATTAAAATTATATGGATAGTTTCAAGATTAATCCATTGAATGATGTTGCAATGGAGTAAAAGAACCTTAATTCTTAATGCTTTTTCGACCTACCATCAAATCTCAATACATACAACCGATAAAAAAAGTTAATTTTATGACAAGTGATAGGTTTTATTATCATCAAGTAATGTAGCTTGGGCTTAAACATTAGGAAAGCTTAACACTAGATAAGAAAAAAAAAATGATTTTTTATCATAGAAATGAAAAAATATGGAAGCTATGAAAATTTAAATCAACAATCATATGGAAGAAAGTAAGTTCTAAAAGAGAACATGTTGGATTTATAAACTTGGACAATAGAAAATATGACTGACCCAACCCAAGCATTTTTAGTGCAGCTGCAGACAGTTTTTTGGATTATCTTATCAATCGATAAATATTTGTGATGAGCAAGAAAATGTAAAAACTGTGAATGCTAAAAACTAATAAGACATACTTTGTTGAGCCAATTCATATCATGGTTGTCCCGAAGATTTTCTCCTTTCCTTCCCAGTGTTGAAAATTTTTAAAAACCTTAGACGGAAAAATAAAAGGAATAATTGGCATCAACTCCGTTAGAGAGCAATACTAAAGTTGAATAAATCTTTTTGTGGAATATAAAAATTAGAACAATAAGCATCAACTCAATTAATAGCTTGAGCTTTTGGAGGACATCTATTTGGTTGAATGCCATTGCTACTTTGCAATTTAGTCCTTAACTAAGAAAAGTAAAGAGTGAGGTTGTTATTTACCAACATTTAAATAATATATTGATTAATTTGCGCACATGTTTAAAGTTAGCAAGAGAATTGCCTAATTCAATATATTAATCCTAAAAGGTTTACCTGATAAAAAAAACTAAGCCTTTTATAATGAGTGGAATGAATTTCATTGGTCCCCTAACAACATCTTTTGGTCGGGGAGAATCGCTAATTTTAGTGCATAACCTCACTAAAAGAATCTAATTTAAACACTTGGTTAAGTAAAATTATGAACTACAATAATATTTTTGTAGCGGAATGTGATTAATAGATTTGGTTGACCATTTACATAGAAGAAAATTGAAAATTTTTAGTGATAATAAGCGATCAATTTCAACTCTAGAAGAAGTTACATGATAAGAAAGGAAAACAGATTGAAGAGTTTTTGGTATCACCTTAGACAATTTTAACAACTCTAACTATGATTAGAGGGGTAAACTTTGCTTTGAGTTTTAGGAATAATGTGACACTTTTAGAGGAGTAAAATCATATTCAAATAAAGCGCAAAGCTTTCATTCCAGCTGATCTACTATTGTCAAAACAGGAAACAACTGACTGGGTAAAACGTGTAAGAACTTAGCCTAAATAGAAAAGAAACCATTCATGCTTGATGCAAAAGGAGCTTGCAAAAATCACCTTTCCTTAAAATAGTATTTATTTCAATTTTATCTGAAGAAAATTGAGTTGGTCGTTAAAAGAGTATAGGATGAATGAAAAGTAGGAACTATTCAATTTTAATGATATAATTAGTATGATTTTAAAATAGTTTAAACTTTTATGGAGAATATAAACAAGCCTATTATTCTATAGTAGTTTTCATGATTTTTTTATAACAATGTCTAAATTCCTCAAAATCTCTATTTCCCATTCACAGCAAAAGGGGTCAAGCCCCCTCTCTTTCTCTCTCCAAAATTCAATAGTATGACAACCTTACACTCAATCCCCCAACTCTTTCTCTAGAAAATCTACTTCTTTACTTCCTCTCTCTACCAGAAAAAAAGAAAGGAGGAACTAGTTATTAGGTAAAAAAAGATCATAAAAGAAATGTAGGAGGAAGGAAGAAGGGGAAGAAAAGCTAAAAGAAAATCTTCTATTAGAAGAATGAATTAAGCTATCATTACAAGTGGTTCCTATTATATTATTATCTCTGTAAATATCCTTCTAATCATCTATCAAGCCTCTCAATCTATTCTTAATCCTTACCTTGGTCGAGCATTTATAAAGCCTCATTCTTGGTTTTATCTACCGAAGACACAATCTTATTGAAAATATAATTCCGAAAAATCCATTTCTAAGTTATATCCTCATTAACTTCTAGGTTTGGCTGAAGATTTAACAATAACCGAATTTCACTCTATAATCAATAAAAAAATTTTGCAAGTCCTAGTGCATATTGCAAACAGTAAGGGATTTGATCTTCCCCATGCTTAAAATATTGATCATTTGGAATGTTGCTATCCATGTAAACAAATATCCCAACAATAAAACAAGATTTCATATGAAATATATGACATGTTTACAAAAATCTTAAATTTAAATTTGGATGGGGAAGCAAGTGCTCAAACAAAGCTCAATCAGATGGTGACTTAATAAAATGGAGAGAGGAAAATAAAAACTATTCATTAAACATCATACATAGCTCATTCCCATCTTTTAAGAAATTAAAGTGCCTACCTTTGCTAAAAAAATTAGTCAAAATCAGAAATACAAAAAAATTAATCTTTTGATTCTGATTTTTCAAAAATAATAATAGAGCTGTGAATGAAGAATAACCCAAAAAAGCAGGAAAAGAATGGGAAAGTATCAGAACTTACTTCCTCCATGCTGGTACTGTGATCCTTGGACAGCTGAACAGCCATCAACTTCAATTTGCAAAGCGAGATTTCCTCGTTCTTGTTAATTCTACAAACATGGCTAGTTGGATTTTGCGTAGGAAATTCCTCCGATATCCTGTCCAGCTCCACACGGGCAATCGACTCCCTCGATCTGTTCTGAAACCGTGAATCATCCATCATAAGAACAGCATTGCTGTTTCGATCGCTCGCCCTATCCTGCGCCAAGACAACACGGCTATCGCCAAGGTTCATGACATAGACGTCTTGATCCTTCATCAACATTACGAGAACACATGATCCCATTAGCGCGAGCTCCGGATTCGTATCGAGCGACCTTTCCACCATGTCAGCATAAGCTTCCTCGGTGATCTCAAGTGCTCTTGCCAATGCTTTCATTACAGCGTCATGGTCGACAGGACCAGACTTGCATTTCGGAACAGCAACAGATGGGTTCGTTGTGCCATCCGTCAGATGGAGTTGGTCTCTGTGCCAATCATAACTCCATGGGATGAGTTTTTTAAGTAAAGATTTACGTTTCCAGCGCAATTTTTTCAACTTGGATCTAAAAAGAGATCTTTTGATCTTTTTCTGTGTTGAAGATGAAGGAGGCATGTGATGTTCCTTCGGATCACTGTGTTTCTCCGCGGAATCATATTCAGTTTCTCGGTTTATGATCGGTTCAATACGACCTGAACTTCGAACTCCGACGTCTGCGGAGCAGGAAACGAGCTGAATCTCTGAGTTTTCAATGAAATGTAATGGTAAATTCCTTGAGCTCCCGCATGCGGCATCAGATGCGAACCTAGAGTCCTTATCCTCTGGGTTTTTCACCAGTTCCAATTGAAGCAGCTCATAAAGGTGCTTGCTTATCCCGGGATCACTTATTGTGTTGTCCGCTGGAGGGTCAACAGCAGCATTTCCTTGAAAACTATTAGCTTCACTAACCATGGCTGCATTCTTGTTGTCCATTTTCAAACTCTGATCCTGGTTTATCACACTTGCTATGTGCAGACAATCTAAGCTTCTGGATTCAGCTTTTTCATCACCTTGTGTTGGTTCAGTGTCCAACTCACCTTCAACACTAGACTTCCCTCCACATTCCAAAATTCGTGCTTGAAAATTGTAGACTTCTTCAGAGTTTTTGTCCTTCGAAAGGTCATTGCAAAGTTGAGAATTTGAAATTTTGTTTTCAGTGGCAACATTGTGTGGGTCAGGAAGCAAGATATCTTCTCCTCCAACATCTGAACAAGCACAAAAAGATTTGTTTAAAGGAAGAACAACTGAAGGCAAACTCTCTTGAGGCTGCTTTCCATAATCCCACAACAAACCTTCCAATTCTTTATCTATAGCCATGTAAAGATTGCTCATAAGAAAATCAGGCGCATCAGGGCCACTAAAACCATCATATATCCCAACAAAAAGCCAACCTTGTTCCTCAGAAAGAACTACATGAACCCTGTCCTCCCCAGCCTTGCCATGAGCCCACTGCAAGTTCTTCATATCTCTATACTTATGCTCAGAAGCCCCACCCTCATCAAAGTTCCTTGAGGCTACATGCTTCAACTTCAACTCCTCCGGATGCCAAACCATCTTCCTCATCAGATCCATGATGAGCCTTTGTATCCGGCCAGCACGACCGCTAGGCTTCCCAAAAATCCGAGAGAACGCGCTTCTCATAGGCCTACTCATACTTCCCACAAGCCGTTTGATCCTCCCTTTTCCATGGACATAAGTGAGTGAAGCTGCAAAATTGCTTCTTTCTGTGTTATCAATCGGACCAGACATGAAGGCGCCTTTATCCAAAGCTCCAGACATGAACCCATTCAAAGTTCCAGAACCTCTAGGTACTGGCTGCAAAGGAATGGCGGCAAAGGAAGCTGTGCTCTCAAAAGAAGCTGCTGGCTGCAGCATTTCCCCGGAGAGCAACTGATTAAGATTGCAGCCACTCCTAGCAGTGGATACATTAGCACTAACCGAGGCTCCGGAAATAGTCTTAAAGGTAGTTTCAGGTAAACTACTGCTGTGTCTTTGTAAGCTAGCAAGATCATCCACCATGACTTCCTGTCGAAAGGAGCCCCACTGTGTCTCAGTATCAACTGTGCTAGAACATGCTGTATACCTATCAGAGGTAAACGGAGTTATGGCCGGAGAATCGGCGATCACCGGCCGGACATAACAGAAGGAATGCCCTAATCCTTCATCTAATGGCTCCAGAAACTCGAAATTGACGTCTTGGCTACCATTTCTAAATGGCCTGAAGCAACAAACAACGCGAGAAGGACTATTACCCATAACCAATTCAACAAAACATAATCGGATCAATCACTGGATGTCACAAAATCTCTCAACCCACAAAACCCTTTTATGTTGCCTCTGCATCATGAGCATTCAGAATTCAGAAGTCCAGAATATCAGACACCTAAAAGCGCAGATAAATTCATGGATTCATACTAAACAAATCTAGAAACTTAAGCCATGCAATGGGAAAAGGGACTCAAGCAAGGAGGGTTTGCTGGGCATCCAACCTGTTGAAGAACGAATGCAAAGCTCTTTCTCATGCAACCACTAACCGGCGAACCAGAGAACAGATCTATGGTGAAACCAGATGAGAAATGCGAAGAAAAAGATTGGTATAGATCGAAAACAGAGAGGAAGTAGAGAAAGTAATTTAAATCATAACCAGACAAAACTGCGAGTTGAAGCTAGGGCGGGTAAAAATGTGTTTTTTGAAGAATGGAAGGAAGCGAAAGAGGGGCAACAGAGAGAAGGACGAAGAAATGAGGATTTTTGTTCTGTGCTGAATGAAACCGTGGGAGTGGATTAGGAAGCTTGATTGCTTTTAAAACTAAAAGAGGGAAAGGGGAGAAAATCGCGCAGTGCACAAGAAGGTGGCCATGAGTTCACTCACAGCCCATCGGCTTCTTGCGGCTTTTAAATATATATCTATATTAAAATTTGATAATAATAATATATTTATATCATATTATACATATATATATATATATATATATATATATA